GAATTAATCATAACTTGTTTTATATGTGCAACTTAATTACCGAGGATTTTTTGAGAAACTGCCACCACTATAATATAGATCAGTATCGAGAGTTCCGAAAGAACTTTCAATAGGGTAATAATACAGAGAGCAATCTGGTATGCATCCACAAGGTGGCTTTTTGATATCATCTATCTTCTTTGGTAGATTTTGATGATTTTGTTTTATCTCTGGCCACGAAGTATCTAAAAATACTGTAAAAAATAAAAATATATGTTTTTATATATATAAGGAAAAAATGCCAGAATCTCGAAATATCTCGCAAAATATGTTTTATAGAAAACTGTGAAATGCAAAGCTTTATTTCAAGGTATAAAGAAAATAGAATGTGTTCCTAAGTTGTGGATGAAGTTAACTATAGATGTGCACAGCCGAGTATTCGCGAGCGCCTGTGGACGCTATATCCAACTTTAGCCAAGTTTTGTCAATTGCTATTTGCTATTTGCATGTTTAACCATTTAAAATCTTAGAATGGCCTACTCAAAATTCAGATTTGAATTTGATAAAAAATATCTGGGCATTAATTGAAAAAAGGAATGAACAAAATATATTAGAATATTAGAAATACACCAGAATATTACAAATATTTATATGTATATGCGTATTCGACCTATTGTCAAAATCAAAGACTCATGGATCAAATATTAAAAACTGCAAAAAGCTCTAATATTTATTGAAAATCAGTTGTGCAAAAAAATTGATTCCATGAAAAAAATTTGTATTAAATATAATAATGATGACAAGATGATTTTTTTATGGAATGTCAAAACATTATACATAGGCTATATTCCAATATTTTCTATAAGTGCTAACAGCACTGCAAATGCGTTCCGATATACATGAATGCTCTTACAGCTCTACTGAATTATATCAATACTTATTGAGCATCAGAGTGAGTATCAGAATGCAGTTATAATACTATATATTTTGTTTTTCATTTTGCTTTTTAAAAAAATAATAGTATTATTTATTTTAAAATTCCATGTGCATGTTCAATTTTATTCTTTTCTACATATATCTGCTTATGCACACTTACATTTATATTTCTTTAAACATTGAATATCCCTGAGATTGCATACTCTGGTACCTGAAATAATAATAACTTTATTTATTTTAATTAATACTGTATATACAAATATCTATCAGTAATTATAATAATGCTATTAAGAACTACTCGGTAGTCTGTAAATCGAATAGTTATAATAACGAAAAAATAAACTGTAAAATATAGCCAAAGCCGATGAAAATTAAGTACATAAATTATTGTTCCCAAGTTCATTATAAAGTCAATAATTGTAATAAGATAAATAAATCAATATTAATACACACACCAATCTTAATCACATTATTTTTGTAAAACTATGAATTCTTATAAATATAAATAATAAAAATTTATTTATGATTAGTAATCCGATGATTGCAAACTTAAAACAGATCTTCAATTTACAACAGTGCATATTTTTTGAGCCATTCCCTTCCGAAATCAGAACTTAAAAATATCGAAAACTGACAATAATCGAAAAACTGACTGCGACCAAAAATAATCGAAGCCAAATCACTGCGTATCGCAAGAATTGTTGACCGCCTTCGAATTTCCTCGATCGGCGGGGTCTTTCTCCTATGTGTTGAGATCCTTTCTATCCATTCTATTCACCGATCGATATATAAATTCTATAAAAAACTATTCTCACATAAATTTCATTTATTTTTCAATCATATTGTTTTTCAGTGTCAAATCTCATGATTGTAAAAGACAATAAGAATTATAAATATGCTTTCAAATTTTTAAATTCTTTTTTATGTGAGCAATATTTGTCTATTCATATATTTTCATAATTTGTCTACTTACTATTTTGTGGAAAATAATAAGGAATGCAACCGCATTTTGCTCTTGTAATGCTAGCCCGACATTCCGCAAGACAATTGTGATAGGAATATATCGTAAATGTTAAGTTCCTCTCTTGAACATTTGCATATAGCACTTTGTCAGCCTCATCATTAAATATGCATTTCCGAGTAGAAATAGTCAAATCCTTCACTTCTGGTTTTGAATACATTTCTGCAGGATTGATGCTGACAAAATGTTGACTGTTTAATTGTACTAATTGCATTTCGGCATTAAAATCCGGATAATCGAATGAGTAATGTATTATGACCTATGATAATACATAATACATTTAATTGTTAAATTTATAGCAAGAGATTAATTATGAGAGAAAAGAGAGAATACATAAAATAAAGAGTTGATTTAATAAAAAAGTTTTTAATAATCTGTCGGTCCACAATAAGTGATTTAAGTTTTAAAAAGTAAGAAATTGACCAATTATAATCGAATATGAAAAGAATACTCGACTATGATTAGTCAATTTCTTACGGCTTAAAGATTAAATACTTATTGTGGACCGACACTAATATGACATAAGGGACTTGTTATAACTACTTTGCAACCGATTTGATTTTACTTGAAATATTATATATTATTAAATATAAAAATCATAAGGGACAAGTATTTTTTACATCCGCCAAATTTGTGCTTTAAAGAGTAAAGCAACCCTTCAAAGCCAACGCATGTATTTGATTCGAATCAATTATCAATGAAAGGGAAAGATATATAATAAAATATATATAATATATAATATATAAATAATAATATATAATGAGATATATAAAAAAATGTTTTAAATCAAATTTTATGGTTTTTTATGTACTTTATAATTATATATTTAGATTTTTAAAAAGATTTAATACTTTTTAAAGTACCCCATATTCCATTATAATTTTCAATTAATATATATCATATCATAATTTAAATTTCTTTCGCTAAGAATAAAAATTAAAGGAGATTTGGAGAGTTATTGTAAATGAAATGATTCTATTTATAAATACATTTTTAAATTACTTAATACGCTATAATAAAATGTTAAATATTATTCATATTATTTTGTTGATTTCAAGTAATTGGAAACAATTAAGTAGATAAGTAAGAAAAAAAAAACAACTAAAAATTACCTTCACTCCATATGCTCCGGTAATTGTCGCGTGATAGTCATTCGGATCAATATTTACTACTATTGTCATACCAGTCTCAAATCCACAAGCGGTAGACCTTTTCATACTTTAACAAGAATATATAACAAAAATGTTTAATATTAATATAAATATATCATATAACGTAATATGATTATTGGTAGAATGCAGAATCGAATTTTATGTTCACAAATTATTTAATAATCTTTTGTTGCATGTTCTATATTTATATTTATTTATTAAATTTATGTGTTTTATTTATTTCCTTTTTTTCGTGTAAATCTTAAATCTTTCATAAATCCTAACTACTATATTTGAAATGCCCAATGTAAAATTCAAGTCTGCAAAAATACGATTTATACTTGTCTAATGTTGCCGCATCTGGAAAAGTGTAATAATTAAAACTACAGCATAGACCATCTCTTGATAAACTTTTCTTAAAATATCTGTCACATTGATCAGTTGTGCTTTTCCACTTGCATATTGTCAATAACGTACTACAGTTTTGTGTTATCTGAAAAAAATTTCCCGATTAATTCTTTTTTTTGGAACAACAGAATTAAAAACATAAAATGATTGCAATATACACAAATATAACGAATTGATAAGAAAATAACATATTGTAATACATTATTTAGTAAATTGATGTAATTTAATAAATTAATATAATTCTAATTTAAGTGGATTCTATTTAAGTTTTATATGCATTTAATTTAGTATATTACACACTATTTAGTATATTACACACACGCACACGCATACACATACGCATACACACGCGCGTACGCACGTATGCACATGTATATACACGCACGCATGTTGTTAAACGTCGATTGAAGTCGATTAATGCTTCTATTTTGTTATCATCAACTTCGATTGGTCTCTCTGAACATCTTTAACATCGAAATCTTTAGATCGAAATTTTGCAAACCAATTCTGATATAGTTTTAAGGCATCTTCACCATACACATCGCATAATTTTTTATGAGCTTGCACAGCGTTTTTTTCTTTTCGGAAGTAATAGAGTAAAATATGACGAAAATGTTCTTTTTATTTTCCATATTAAAATCAACGTCAAATAAACAATTTTTAACGAAGTCACGTTTTTTTCTAAAACAAGCTTGAACTATAATCTATCAGGATATACAGTATCAGGATATACAGCAAATCTGTCCTTTAAAATGAAATCAGTTACATTGCAAGAGATGTATTTCCAACTATTAGGAAAAAAACGCGATTACTTTTTGTCCGATCCAATAGTTATTATTTTAAAATTCTGTTGTTATAATTCTATTATCCTAATCATTAATATAAAAATATATATATACATTATATAATACATATATAATACATTAATAATAGAAAATTTAGTGCTAATTATTTAGGAAAATAAAAATTATTTAGTGTCATTTCATCGAAATAAATAGTTTTAAACAATCGTATTTATTCAATCAAGTAATATGATTTAGTATGTACAATGAAACAACGATGATTTGAACAAATAAATGTTTCATTTATAATTATATTGTTGAATCAAACGAATCAAACGGATAGGAATGGTAAATGTAAAAAAATTATTCTCTTTATGTATTTAGCTGTTACAAGAAGCATTGCGTTATGTTTGCGATCGACTTGTAACTAATGTAGAATTTTAAAACGCTGACGCACTTAACATGAGCTACGATTATGCTTTTTGATATTTAATTTCTTTGTGATTATTAATTTCTTTGTGATGACAATATATTTTTTTTTATCAAAGAAACTCCATCTTCTTATAAAATTTATTTGAGAATTTTATAATCATATTGTACGTATACGCACGATAAACATTTTCTATACGTACCAAATTCATTATATTAAGAACGGATAAATGATTATCATCTATAATATCTTGTAGACGAGTAAGGTTCTCTTGAACGTCATATCCAAATATTCCTGGTACTAATAATTCATTCATTAACCGCATCTCTTGAATTAAATATTCTTTTGAGATATTGGCTGGTATCTTTCTGTGAAAAAAATACAATTGGTATAACAAAGAGAAAGAAAGTTTTTCAGCAAATTTGCACTATATTGTTAGTAAAGTAACGACAATTCTAATTCGGAAGCTCTAAGTGGTTAAAGTGGTTAAAAGGGCAAGAGGACAGCGCGGGATATTCCATATATCATATAAAAGTGTCAGTTTTTTAATGGAAAGAAAGTAAGAATAACTATTCAATAACTGTTCAAATGTCGGAGCAATTAGAGGGGCAACATGTGGCTCAGATTGCTACATGGTCAAAGCAAAAATAATGTGTCCTGTTAAGCACATGGGAAGAAGAGAGGAGTAACGGAGAGGCAAACGAGGAAATGTTTATATTTTTATTCATTTCGTTTCATGAAAAAGTTAATTATTGCAAACTTCGAAACAGCATTAAAAAGTTATTATCTTATGTAAGACACTATTTATTTTTATATTATTTTTATGTCAAATATTGTATTGTTATAAAATTTTATATGCAATGCTCTTACATCTTTATGTTTTTATATACAATGTCATATTACCAAAATTTTTAACTTTTGTTTAAAAAAAAATGTAATCCAAAAACAAAATGATAGTACTTACAAATTTTCGATAAATTCTTTAGTCAAATTGTAAGATATACGATTAATATTGCACACTGTTATTGCTGGAAATGGATAATTCCATATTCCACGATGTGTCGACTCGATAATTGTTAGAGTAGGATGAGTGACATAATAATTCCAAGCCATTTTCATTAAAGCAATTGCACATCCTAATGAAGCGAATACTGCTATTGCCCAAATAATCCTATAATAAATAATTTTTGATTTATAATACATATGTTATTAAAAACATTGGATAGAGAACATTTGCTTTAACATATATATTTAATGTGATGTTAATATATACGATTAAACGAGCAAATTATCTTGAAAAATTATTTGCTTTGTACTTCATTTATAAAATCACATTCACAATTTCAATATATTGTATTTCGAAATTTGTATCTACCGTTCTACTTTGGAACGTTGAATTTGGCTAATATATTTGTAACCATGTAATCCGGTGGTGCAACAGAATTCAGCGGCTTGTCTTTTCAGGATATTCCAACATTTTGCATTTGTAACTACCACTTTATGTTGAATTTCATATGTCGTAACTTTTTTCATATTTAACTTAATTATTAAATATTTTAATGTTACCGCGAATAACGAGAAATGCGAGAGAGCAAATGGAAAAGTGATATAAAACATTCTTTTCATGATTTTACATTAGCGTGTTTTAACTGCTGTATATTATCAGCACAAGTAAATAGCAAAAACATATAATACAGTACATACGAATAACATAAAATATTCATTCGACCTTCCGTTGGCGCGTGATAATTTCAACTCTCCTGATCACGATTTCATTCCTATGTAATTAATTATTAACCAATAAGAATGTTAAAACACAATTAATACATACATTATAGATTCTCATGCCATTTGTAATTATGTTTTTTTAAATCGAAAAACTCCGTTTATATTTCACGACAATGAAATATTTGTTTGATACAGATGATAAACGATAATGTACAAAGAAAAAATAAAATATGAGCGTTGTTAAATACTGTCATTATGTATAAGTATAGACTTTACATGACAAAAAAAAGTAATTATTTTTTTGTTTAGAATAACTCAATATAATTTTTGTACACAATTTTAATTTAATAATTGTTTAGAAAGAGATTAGAATCAAAGTTCATTATTTGAATAAAAGCATTCTGTAATTGATGTAATTTTCTTTTAAATGAAAATCTTATTTGAAAAAATTGAAAGTCATATAGGCTGTGTTCCGATATTCACTGTCAGTATAGAAGATCTATAATACACGTGACCTGAACTATATATTTTCAGTATGACGTGTACACTGCAGAGCCAAGATTGTGAATTTCTGTAATGCTCTCTTTTGTTTTCTAATGTTATTTTGTTTAATTTACTTAAAATACTTTTATAATATTTTTATAATAATTTATTTCTTTCGATTTAAATGATGTATTTTGCTTATAAAATAAAACTAAAAAATAAAATAAATATTTTATTTTTGCAAATACATAAAAAAAGTGTGTTAAACAGAATTTAAAAATATTGTCAAAATATAAATTCGAATTTGTCGCGTGACAAAGAAGGGAGTTGAAAAATGATCAATTTTGGCCGTGAATAGATACTTTTAAAATCGAGGCATTTATTAAATTCGAAAATTCATAAATTTATAAAAGAAAGCTTATTTACCCAAGAAAGCTTGGAAAACTTTCCAAAATTAATAAAATAGGTTATTTGAATGAATTATTTGAAGACATTGTTGAAAAAGTTCATTTTGTTTCTAATGAACAATGATAGATTCCAAAATTGGGATATTTACATTTAACATATATTTAACACAATATTGTAAGAATACTCTATCAGGAAGATAGAGAGAGAGATCCACACACACACACACACACACACCACACACACACCCACACACACACACCACACACACACACACACACACACACACACACACACACACACAACAAA